GCTAAGATATTTGACCCACTGGGAGTTATCTCGCCAGTCACATTTCAGATGAAAGTATTATTTCAAGAGCTCTGCAAAAAGAAAATCAACTGGGATGACCCGCTTCCGACTAGAATAAAGGAAGACTGGACTAGTTGGTGCAATGAACTCTCAAGGATTGAACACGTGAAAATTCCAAGGTGTTACACTCACGGGGATCAACAAGATCCAGTCAGTTATCAACTGCACGGATTCTGTGATAGCTCACTATCTGGGTACGCGGCAGTGGTCTTTTTGAGAGCAACGAGTGGTGCAATTATCCAAACAGCATTTGTGGCGTCGAAGACAAGAGTGGCCCCACTATCTCAGCTCATGATTCCGCGCCTAGAATTGCTATCTGCTCTGATCTTGTCCAGATTAATCACTACAGTTGAGGAGGCCCTCAAACCACTTGTAGCAATTGAAAAGATCTACTGCTGGACTGATTCCACAACTGCGCTTCATTGGATTATCGGGACGAACAAGGAGTGGAAGATGTTCGTGGAAAACCGAGTAAAGGAAGTCAGGTCTTGCGTACCTCCCTCATCATGGAATCATTGTCCGGGAACAGAAAGTCCAGCCGATATCCCGTCAAGAGGCACACACCCATCAAAGCTGAGTGAGAGTCCTGTATGGTTTCTTAGTCCCGAGTGGTTGCAAACAAGAGAGGATATGTGGCCTTCACACAAGACCGAAACCGAACCACCAGCAGAATGTCTCTAGGAAATTAAATCCTCTACTTTAACAAATCTGACAGCGATAGAAACATCCGCGGCTGCTATCATCGACTGCAACAAGTACAGCAGTCTTCAGCGACTACTAAGGGTCACCGCCTATGTCAAACGGTTCGTTCACAATATCAGCCGGAAAGAAAGGATTACTGGACCTCTGAGTACTAATGAAATACAGGAAGCCGAAATCTTGTGGATAAAGGAGATGCAAGAACATTTGCAAGTAGGTGAACTGGAGAAGGAACTTGGACTGTTCAAGGACGAGAAAGGCATAATGCGTTGCAGAGGATGACTTGGCAACAGCCAAGCATCATATAACAAAACATTTCCCGCGTTTTTGTCACGGAATCACCATGTCACGTCGTTGATCATTTGCTATTGTCAGGAACGTGTCATGCACAATGGTTTAAAGGAAACTTTAATAGATGTTCGTCCAAAGTACTTGATCCCAAAGGGGAGACAAACTGTGAAGAACGAACTGTTCAGATGTAATACATGTCGAAGATTTCAAGGCCGGAGCAATCCAGTTCCAGAATCGCGCGATCTACCAGAATTTCGAGTCAGGGATGTGCACGCTTTCAGCTGTGTAGGAGTTGACTTCGCTGGTCCTTTGTTCGTAAAATCAAAGGTCAAGGATGACCCAGAGATGACAAAGGTGTACATTGCTCTGTGCACTTGGAATCTGTGCATTTGGAATTGGTCTCAAGTCTAGACGCCCCAACGTTTTTGCTCTGTCTTAGGAGATTTATTAGACGCCTTGGTCTCCCAAAACTAATTGTTTCAGACAACGCGAAAACCTTTCAGGCCTCAGAGAAGACCTTAGTAAGTCTATTTGAACTGGAAGACGTACAAGAGCACCTGTCCAGCAAGGGGATAAGATGGCAGTTCAACCTGGCAAAGGCGCCATGGTGGGGTGGTTTTTTTTTCTCCTGGTGAAGCAAGTAAAATCCTGTCTGAAGAAAACACTCGGAAGATCGAAGCTTTCATTTGATGAACTCACAACTATTCTTGTCGAATTTGAAGCAGTTCTGAATTCAAGACCTCTCACGTACCTCTATTCTGAAGATGTTGAAGAACCTCTAACACCATCGCACTTAGTCATCGGGCGAAGACTTCTAACTCTACCCGTAGGACCTCTTCAAATTGATGATTGGGACTTTGGAGATCATCTAACTGCTACCAAACGTTATCGCTATCTTGCAGATCGTATTCAGCACTTTAGAAGACGGTGGCAATGAGAATATCTCGTCGAGCTGAGAGAATTTCACCGTCCCAAGGGCAAGAATGTCACGTTACCCCCTGTGAGAATTAATGATGTTGTTATCTTGCACGACCAGGGAACTTCACAGAGAGCGTTCTGGAGGCTTGCGAGAATTACAGATTTGATCAATAGAAGAGATGGAAAAGTTCGAGGAGCACGAGTGTTAGTTGCAGGAAAGAAGACTCTTATCGAGAGACCCCTTTAAGGGTTGTTTCCTCTGGAGGTTCATGCTAGCAACGCAGAATCAACCAATGAAAATAGTATCGCGGAAGATGAAACTTGCGGAGTGAATGACGGAGTTTCAGCTACACGGACAAGACCTCGTCGAACCGCAGCGGTTGTTGCAGAAGAGAAAATCAAGCTTATTGACCACTTGTTAGGCTAAGAACTTAACTGTTAAACATTCTCCTTGGGCCACTAAAACAAGTGCCCAAGCGGGGAGTGTCGATAGCTTTCTAAAATAGTGTGACATTGCTTTTGTTTTGTTTTT